CCTATCCTAGACCTGGAAGGTTGTGTTCTTTCCCTGTTAGTCATTAAGCCTGTGTTCAGGCTGCACTGAGAATGTAGCCCAATTGGGAGAGAGCTGCCCAGCAGGCACCAGGCTCTGGTTTGATTGCAGCACTGCATAAATCAGGCATGGAGATGCATGTCTATAATACCAGCACTTACGGAGATGGAGGCAGGAGGAACAGAAGTTCAAGGCCATATTCAGCTACATCTTGAGTTTGATGCGGCCTAAGCAACATGAGACCTTGGCTCGAAAAAACACTAATAGCAAACACCTCTAAAAAAAAAAAAAAAAAAAAAAAGAGATGGTCAGGCATCTATTTCTTCATAGCTCTAAGAAAAGTCAGCTTTCTAGAACATTCGTTTCCATCAGTAGTACACAATGGCACTATTTCCCGAAATAACATCCTGCCAGTGTGTCCCAGGGCTCATGCTCCGGCAGAGCAATCTATGACAAAGGATTCCCACGAAAAGGCCCACATGCACATGCAGACATCTACCTCTAAGCAGGTTCAACGTGATATTGCTTACTGTATTAAAAATGGGGGGAAGATGGGCGGTGGTGGTGCACGCCTTTAATCCCAGCACTCGGGAGGCAGAGGTAGGCGGATCTCTATGAGTTCGAGGCCAGCCTGGTCTACAAGAGCTAGTTCCAGGACAGGCTCCAAAGCTACAGAGAAACCCTGTCTTGAAAAACCAGAAAAAAAGGGGGGAGGGAGAATCTGAATGTCACACAAGGTGTTACAAGCAGATGAAAAACAAGGCAGCTCTTTATAACTAAGCTGGTGGGTTGGAGAGGTGGCTCAGTGGTTGGCAGTAGGTACTGCTTTTGCCAAGATCCCAGACCAGATTCCCAGCCTCTTGTGACACCAGCCCCTAGATCATCCCAAGACCTCCTCCACAGGGGCCAGCATTCACATGCACACACCTGCACACTGACCTACACACACACACACACACACACACACACACACACACACACACTTAAAAATAAAAATCTGAAAATAAAGCTTATGTTTAAATGGTCACAAATTTATTGATAAAGGGGAAGAGCCCCATACAAAGTTAAATATGTGTGACACCATTGAGGAGGGAAGGATATTTACACAGAGAAAAGTTGCAAAGGGATGGTCATTTAAACATTTTTAGATTCATTTGTTTAGTTTATGTACATGCGTGTTTTGCTTGCATATATGAACGTGCGGGCCTGGTGCCTATGAAGGTCAGAGGAAGGTGGCATTAGATGTCCAGGAACTGCAGTTACAGACAGTTGTGAGCCATTGGAAACACCACCAGGTTCTCTCCAAGACCAGCAAGTGCTCTTAACTGCCAGTCCATCTCTTGTTTGAAAGGAGGGTCTCATGTAGCCCAGGAATGCCACAAGTTCCTGATCCTCTTGCCAACACCTCCTGGTGCGGGAGAATTGTCTGTATTCTGTCAATCATATTTTAATAAAACGCTGATTGGCCAGGCAGGCAGTATAGGCAGGAAAGCCAGAAAGGAAGTAGGGGTGGAGCAAAGAGACTGGGAGTCTTCTGGAAGCAGAAGCTCCCTCAGCCACTCCTTTGCAGACCACCGAAGAGGCAGCATGTAATTTGCCCAGCTGAGAAAGGTACTGAGCCCATGTGCTAACATAGATAAGGATAATGGGGTAACATAAGTTATAAGAGCTAATAAGTAGCCTGACCTAATGGGCCAATCAGTTTATAACCTTATGGAGTCTTGTGTGTGATTTCTCTTTGGGATTTGCTGGCTGTGGGGTACCGGGCGGGAACAGACACCCCAACAAGCCGGCCCTCATGCTACAACCTCCCAGGCATGTGTACCCACACCCGGCTCAGAAAGGTTAATGAGCTCAGGGGGGTTCCTTCCCGAAGAGCTGCATTTGCTGGGGATTTTTTTCTCTCCTGTGTTGTTTTATCTATACATGAAAACATGAACTCAGGTATATTTTGTAAAAAGAAAAAAACAAGAGTTATATTTCACAACCTCAGATTCCCAAGACAAATTTTGAAACTCACACAGGTACAGTCTTCCCTGTTTAGGCAATATCTACAGAGACCGTATTCACCTGTACTCCCCGGAGAATCACAGACTTTCCTACTTAGGGGAGAGGGTAGGGAAAGCCAGTGGAGATGGGGCTGGTTTTAGTCTGGTGTATACATACAAATTGTGGCTTAGAAGAAACAGAACTCTTTAAAAAAGTTTTTATTTGTGTGTGTGTGTGTGTGCGCACACGTGTGTGTGCATGCGCGCGAGCCATATCTGTGTGCAGTACTTGAGATGGCCAGAAGTGGGTGTCAGGATCTCAATATGAGGTTGGAAACCAAACTTAGGGTGGAGTCAGTGAAGCTGCTGAGGACAACAAAAACATATCTACTCTGCCTTACATACCTACAAAGCAATAAATAAAGTGGTAGAATATTGAAAGCATAAACACTCCATAATGTCTGAGAGGAGAAACCCTCCCTCCATAGTGTCTGAGAGAAGAGACCCTCCATAGTTTCTGGGTAAAGCTAAGTTTGACAAGAATAGCTCGAATACCATTGCAGAAACTTTTGCATTTTAAACAACATACCCCAAGGCTCTAACCATTTAAACACTGACTTCTATTTCAACACAGATTTTTATTTTTGCATTTAAGGAACTTCAGTCCAGGCCCATAATACCAAGATTTAGAACACTGAGGCAGGAGGTCACCAGTTCTGCTCTAGCTTGGCATAGACGTTGAGATCTTGTCTCAAAGATAAAACAAACAGAGCACAGTAAAGAAGTTACCAAGCATGGTGACTCACACGTACAATCTTGGTGTTTAGGAGACTGAGGCAGGAGGACTGTCACAAGTTCAAGGTTAACCTGGGCTGTATGTAGAATGAGATGCTATCTCAGAAGAACTGTTTGTAAACCAAGCATGCACGTGCATACTTTTCCATTTTCAAGCCATGCTAATCCTCAAGACCTTGGAAAGGACCTTAAAAGAAGTGTGTTGGGGTGATAAACCTGCATTTCCCTCTTAATCAAAATGGCCTCCGCCATCCTCGAGAGTCCCCATTCACCTCCCTCCGCACCTCCGCTTTAAGCTCTAAGCCTAGTTGTGGATGCAGCACATACATTTTTCCTTCACAAGGACAGGAAGGCAGATAATTTAGACAAAGGCTGTGAAGGTTTCACAAACAGGCTTTCCCTCCTGTGTTAGCCAGCTTTGCACTGGCACAAAACACCTGAGGGGACCAACACACGAAGACCAGAGGTTTTTATTTGGGGACCAACACACGAAGACCGGAGGTTTTTATTTTGGCTTCATTTTCAGAGGCTCCAGTCCATGATTGGTTGGTCCTCATGCTTTTGGGCTCGTGTTGAGGAGCACAACATTGTAGGAGTGTGGTTCGGCAAAGCTCTCATCTCATGACCAGGACACCAAAAAGGGAGGAAGAGGAAGGAGCCAGGGGCCAGCACCCCCATCGAGGTCATGTCTTTCACCAGGCCTGCCTGCCTTTCCGTAGTGCTAAGCTGGGGAGCGATGCTGTAGCAATAAGGCTGTGGGAGGACATCTAAGACTGTGACGTCTAACACCAGTGACAGCGATGACAGCGACAGTGATAACGTCCTGACAGTGATGCTAACCAGGTCCCTTGGGTGCCAACATTAGATACTGTCCATGACGGATATCAGAGGACAATCACATTGTCCAAGTAGGGAAACTGAGGCTTTGCGGGAACAGTGGCCAGCCTGATGCTGAACTCTCCGTCTCTGCTGTGTTTTCTCGCTGCTGACATCCTGAGGATCCTTAACCCCAGCAGACGCATGAGTCTAGGATTGTTACTGCAGCCGGTGTTCTGTTAATGAAAGAGCTGAAACCAAGTAACCTGGAAGGAATAGGAGTCTATTTAGCTCAACGTTGCAAGGGCTGAGAAATCTAAGAGCATGGCCCTGGCTTCCCATCAGCATCCGAGGGCTTGCATTTTGTCACAGTCCAGGGTATTACAAGATTTGGCAGAGCCAGCAGCCTGCTTCAAGACCTCTTGTACTATTTTGTATGTGTATATGTATGTGCTTGTGTGTGTGAGAACACACATGTGTGGATGTGTGTCTATGAGCCAGAGGTCAACCTCAGGTGTTGTTCCTCACATGCCAGCTAGCTTGTTTCTTGAGACAGGGTCTCTCCCTGGCCTGGAGCTCACTAAGCGGACAAGGCTGGTTGGCCAGTGAGTGCCAGGGGCTCACCTGTCTCCTCCTCTCAACGCTTGCATGGCTTCCCCTTAGAGGCCAGGAAGCGACACCAGATCCTCCTGGATTTACAGGCAGCTGTGAGCTGTTCTATGTGGGTGTGGGGAACAAGTCAGATGGCCTGGAAGAACAGGCAGTGCCCTTAACTGCTGAGCCATCTCAGCTCCGCAACACATATCAGCACCCCAACACTTCAGGGAACCACCGAAGCACAGCATAGCTAATCCACCCACGATAAAGACGTGTGATTTTGTGCCTGTTGACTAGTTCATTCTTACATCTGTTTATCAGTTGCTTACCAGGATCCTACAGGGACTGGGCGGTGGGAGTCAGGTGATGAGCAGTGTAGACATATTCCCACACGGAGCTTGTGGTCATGTAGAAGAAAGCCTTAAACAAGGCAAATACTTCAACACATTGTGACCATGAAATAAATAAAAGCCACATTCTGGGCTCTGTATCTACGGCCAGTGCCAGGCTGCAGAACCCAGGGCAAGGCAGACATCCAGGTGCTTTGACAAGGACTACATCAGAATTTCAAGGTGGTGACGGCAGGTCCTTAGGCCTAGCTCAGGGCGTCCCAAAGGCTGATGGCCAAGCTGGTGCAGGGCATCTTGGATGATTCAACAAGACAGATCAGCAGAGAAACAGTCTTTGTTTGACCGGAAGTTCAGTGCATCCATGAATAGCAAGTGTTGTAAGCTGTACAGTCAAGTGCAAACCAGCCTGACACTCTCACCGCCCCTTCCCTTTCAGACTGCCTGTCTTACACAGCGTTACAAGTCCTGTCCAGGAGGTGCTATGGGAAGCAGAGGTGCAAGGTCCTGGTTGATAACTACCACTTCGGAAGCCCCTGTCTTCCAGGAGTGAAAAAATACCTCACTGTCGCCTATGCCTGTGGTAAGAAAAATCTCTCAGCCAGCTCCATGAACACACACCTGTCGGGAGATGGGAGCCACATCCAAACAGCAGTGTGTGTGACACTTTAGTTGCACATAGTGGGCCATGCATGGCCAATAAGCACAAGCAAAAGAGGGAAGAACGGAGAGAGTTTTATTAGCTGCAGCAAGTAAGGGGTGTGCACTAGAGTCTTTCAAGCTTATATGGCTAGGAGAGCACCTTGGGGGTGATCTACCATACTGAGCATGCTCAGTTTGAGTTCATAGGGTGAGCAGGAAAGATGGCTAAAACATTCCTAGGGTTAGCCCAGCATCATAGCATAGACATTAAAAGGTGAAAATGATGGACAGAGACTCCTCTGGAGTTCCTATTGTAAAGGTGACAAACAGGGCGTGTGCGGAACAGAGCACACCTGCAACCCCAGCCTTCAGGAGGCTGAGGGCAGAAGGAGTGCTGGGAATTCAAGACCTGGCCGGGGCTACGAAGAAGTTCCTATCTCAAAGCAACAGCAATGATGGTCATGACAGACAGGAATGCTTTGGGTTGTACATAACATCTCTTTCCCAGCATGCTTTTAGTTGAAATCAAAGGAAGGGACACTTTTCGGGTCCATTCACACTGGCGCTTGCCATAAAGGGTGCCGCCCACTTGGCTGCTGACAGAAAGAGCTCAGCTGGTTACCGCTGCTCACCTCACAACACCCCAGACCTTTTCTCTCAGTTATCCTTGTTTATGGCACTCACATCAGATAAGCCATAGGGATTTCTTTGGTCAGAAATTGTTTTGGGAGCACATCAGGTAATCAGATTGGCCGTGGATGGGACGAGTAGGGATAGAATACGCAACTGGGGACAGAGTTGAGGTCACTGAGAACGAACGATTTCTATCTTGGTTCTTAGGGAGCCCTGAAGTGTACTGATGCCGTGTGAACCTGGCTCCTCCTTAGGCTTCCTGTACCTTTGGGAGGCCTTACCTGACACAGCCCACTGTGCTGCCAGCAGCTGTGTTAGCTGCATGCCCTCAGCATGGATGCAGTACAGCACAGGCTCCCCCGTGTGTTGCAGCAGCCCCTTTGCTGGTCCAGTGTCTTTAGAAGGAAGTGAAACCCATGCTCTACTCGGATTCCGTCTTCAGGAAACCACTCCAAAGAAAGTCAGCAGCGGTTTTCAGGATACTGTGGTGGTCCGGTCTATAATCTTGACATACTGGTTGTTCTTCTGAAATGAGCATGGAAGAGAAGGGAAATGGGGAAGCCCAACAACGAAGAACTTGATGCCTCCCCTGAAGAATGTCGTTCATTAGGCTTTGGTTATTGAAACAGCTTTATTGAGATAGAATTGCAGAATGTGCCTGGTCGAACAAACAGTCTATGGTTTTTAGAATATCCACAAAATTATGTAACCGCCGTCATAGGCAGTTTAAGCATACCGGCATTGTTGTAATCCATTCTGAACCAGTCTGAAGAACCTTTTTAAAAACAGGGTCTCATGTCATCCAGGGCAGTCTTAAAGTTACTATATAGTCAAAGACAACTGTGAACTTCACACCCTCCTGTCTCCCAGGCACTAGAATTACAGGCGTGTAACATGACTAGAATTACGGACATGTGCCATGATCACACAGTAAACAAGCAGGCTTCCTGCGGTGACCTGTGTTTCATAGCTGCATGATCTGCTGGGTTGTTGACAAAGCTCATCCGAGAACGTGCTTCTCCTTCAAGCTTCTCCCTGCGGTTCTGAATCTCTACAGCCTCTGCCATTTGCAGAGAGCTGGGAGCCTTGTCTGATCACATTTTAGACAGAGCCAGGAGACAGACCTGAGAAAGAAATGCCACGTCTGGCAGGGAAAGACAACACACCCAGGGTTTTACTGCTGCCAGGGGATCAGAGAGAGTATTCTTAAGACTCAGAGATGAGCAAGAGGTAATTGAGGTAGAAAGCATTTTTCCCGGTGCTGCTGTGTTCCTGGGGTCAGTGCTGTGTCCTGCAGCCTGCCGAGAGGGTCTCTCACAGCACCTTCGCTGTGGCTCCCCGGGAAGCCACCTCATCCTTGACAGGCATAAAGGTGCCAGGGTCTCCTGGGTTGGGAGGTTCGCAGCTTAGGGCTGTTCTCTGCTTGCTGGTCCTGGATGTCTCCAGAAGAATTTAGTTAAGCACTCAGAGAAGGAAGTGGGGTTTTCTTGTAGCTGGAGATGACTTTCAAGGTCTCCGCGAAAGTAATGCTGCAGATCTCGCCTGGTTTGTGTTGGCTTCACTTCTCCTTCCTGTTGCCGCTAGATATCATCTGGGCTGAGGCAAAAATGAAAATAAGCGATTTTCTGCAGCTAGAATACTTGGTATCCGCTCCCTTCTCCCAGTTGGCAGCAGTGTGTTTCTCCTTCACAACTCTCTCTCTCTCTCTCTCTCTCTCTCTCTCTCTCTCTGTCTCTCTCTCTCTGTCTCTCTGTCTCTCTCTCCCCCCCCCGAATCTCAGGTAGCCCAGGCTAGTCCTGAATGAGCCCCCTACATAGCCAAGGATGACCTTGCTGATCCATCTCCCACGAAACATCCTTTCTTATGTCTAGTGTACCATGTGAGCCCAGATTGCTTGGCTCCTCTTGGTTTATGAAGAAATGAGGAGAAAGTTCAGAGAAAAGGCGGGGGAGGAGCGGGGTAGGGGGTCCTGACTAGTCAGTTTGCTTTCCTGTCTCTCAGATATGTTCGTCTCCATTAACAGCTTTCTGAGGCATTCTTCCAGCCTGGCGTCCACCCACCATGAGACACCTTGGTGGACTTCACTTAAAGCTGGGTAACTCTCTCCGATTTCATGCCCCTCTCCCGAAGTGTCCCATGCTCTGCACCCTGTCCACCTTTTGGAGTCCTAATCAACTTCTGTCCCTAGACTGAGCTTCTCTCGGCAAGCTCACAGAAATGGAATTATGCAATAGGTGGTTTTGGTGCCTGGCTTCTCCCACGGAGATTCATTCCTGTGCTCCCTTTATTGCTAGCATTTTTCCATTAGATGAGTGTACCATAGTTTGTTTATTTCCCTCATTGGTTTTATTTGAGATGGGGTCTTGGTGTGTAGCCCAAGCCAGCGTCAAACTTGAAACTCTGCTGCCTCAGCTTTCCTAGCTTCGGGAACTTTTAAGAGAAAATAGCTGTTTTATATTAAATATCCATGTGCATGCGTTTGTGCAGAGGTCCCCTGCAGAGGCCAGAACAGGGAGGTGGGTCCCTGGAGCTGGACTTACAGGCAGTGCTAAGCCACCAGCGTGGTGCTGGGAACAAACTCGGGCCCTCTGCAGCATCAGATACACTGTTCACCTCCACAATGTCAGCTCCTTAGAAAAATGCTGCAGAGATAGGCCGAAGATTTCACCTGTCTCGGGCATTTGATGACCTCGTATGTGCCAATTGTGTCACTGTGTGTGTGTGTGTGTGTGTGTGAGAGAGAGAGAGAGAGAGAGAGACAGAGACAGAGAGAGGCAATAAGTGACCTGAAAAGTATCTTGCAAATCTTTATCTACATTGTACCTTGAATATCTATTAAATGCAAAAGTGTTTTTAATATACCGTGTATTTCAAATACTTCTTTTTGACTTTCAGTTCCCAAGAACATTCTCACAGCGGTCGACCCAGCTGTTGCTAATCCAAACCCTTCTCTGAAGAAAGATGATGAATACGGTAATTTTTATAGCTTACTCATAGTATGTTCTCTTAAGTGAAGTTGAACAGCCCGTGAGTGCAGTCAGGCACATGGGGCTGGAGGGAAAGGCCCGAGGGGTTGGGCTGCTCTGGTGGTAACAACAGGGCATGGCTGGCACTCACATACGGCAGTGTCTGACTTCAAAAAAGAATTAAAATCAAAGTAAAATAAGTTTACCACATTCTCTTCCATTCCTCCTTTTCTTCCTAAAAGGAAATAATAATAAAATCACTTTGAAGAACAGATATTCTCAGAAACAACTTGGGTTCCTGGTGATCCAAGGAGCTTGTTGAAAAGCTGGGACCCAGAGCCAGTTGACCTTGCCAGTCCTTAAAGGTCGCTCTCCCCTTTGCTCCCCACCTAACCCATATAAATAGGGACATAGATATCTTGATTTTATTTTTTAACATTTATTGATTCATGTGTGTGTGTAAGTGGGTATGGATGTGTGTGGGTGTGAAAGTCAGAGGCCAACTTACAGAAGTCAGTTCTCTCCTTCCACTCTGTGAGTCCTGGGAGTGAGCTCACACCATCGGCTAAACCCACCGAACATCACTGCCAGCCTGTATTTGTTTGGTTTTTGTTTTTTGAGACAGGATTTCTCTGGGTAGCCTTGGCTGTCCTAGAGCTCGCTCTGCAGACCAGGCTGGCCTTGAATTCCTATGATTTTTTTTTTTAAATGACATACAGACAAATTTAGCCTGTTGAGTTCTTCACAAAAACTGCGGAGTTCCCACAGAATGCATAAGATGCTAACTTTGGGTTGCAAAGGTTTTGTCTTGTGTTATTTTATTTCACTTGTTATGCCTGCACCCAGTTAGGAAAGTGAAGTATAGGTTTACTTTACTTTCATAAAAGTGTCTTAGGGAACGATTCTAGAACTTTCCATACATGCTCAAACCAGCAAGGTGCTCAAGTCCCTTAAATAAAACAGGGCAGTATTTACACAGAGTCCACACAACCCTGCTGTACACAGATTGCTTGCAATCCTTGTCACATTGTTAATGCCATGCCGTGCTGTTTTGTTTAAGAAATGATGAAAAGAAAGAAACCTGTACATGTTCAGATTTCTTCTGAGCGTCTTTTTTCTCTGTCTGCGGTTGAATTCGCAGGCGTGGGCATCTCTGACACAGAGGGCTGGCTCTGTGCTTTGTTCCATGTGTCCTTCCCACTATAAGAAACACAATGCCAAGACACAGAAGCCACCCTTAGCCCAGAGCATTCTCCACACTCTGACTCACACCACCCTGTCTACCAGGCTCCGTAGTTCAGCTTCCTCCTTCCCTCACTGGGCTCCCACCTGATCCTAAAGGATCCCTGTCCTTCAGTGCAGCTCCCAGATCTACATCTTTCTTAGTGACATCTGCCCTGTGTGATCCTCCCAGGGCTCCCTGAGCTCCAGTACTGGCCCATTGGCACCTGCTTAGTGTTCATCCAGGCAGTGCCCTTGCATCCAAAAGCAGACCAGCCACACACACACATATGTGTGTGTGTGTGTGTGTGTGTGTGTGTGTGTGAGAGAGAGAGAGAGAGAGAGAGAGAGAGAGAGATATCAAACAAACAATCCTCCCATGCCTCCCTCCACAACCCAAGGTTTGCTGTGTATCTGTAGTGCACAGAGCAGACACTGTTCCTGGGTAAGATGAGACATTATTTACCCAGCCTCCTAGAAGCATGATGGATGCCACTGCCTTTGACATGGACTAGCACGTTCTGTTCTGGAGCCGGGTGCATGAGCTACACCTGAAGTTGGAACCAACACTTTGAAATGCTTTGGATCCCTTTCCCTAATATTTGACATTTTCAAAGATGGCTTCTACATGAGCTGCTCGTCTTGTGACTGGGACAAAACACCCGAGAAAAGCAATGCTTGATTTTGGCTCCTGGTTTAGGAAAGGAGGTGGTCCATCATGGCATCAGGATAGTGAGACAGTCAAGACCCAGAGGACAGCTGAAAGCCGGGTCAGGTTATAAACTGCAAAGCCCACCTCCATGACCCACTTCCTTCAGTGAGGATCCACCTTCTAAAGGTTCCACAGGCTCCCAAACAGCTCTGCCAGCTGGGGACCAAGCCTTCTAGCATGTGAGCTCACAGGGACATTTCGCATTTAGGCCTCCACACTCAGTGTTGAGTTTTCCACGGTTTAGTCAGAAGCCCAGTGGTTTGATATCTGTGACTTTTAACTCTTGTGGCAGGCCCAGGGGAAGGTCAACAGGGCTTTCAGGACAGGTACACCCCATAGTCCTCTGACCAACGGCCTTTGCATGTTGTAGGTATAAAATTCGACCCAAGTGGATCGAGGGTTGTGCGGAAAGATGGTGTTATTGTCAGCAACTCTCTGGCTGCATTTGCTTACATTCGAGGTAGGTAAACAAGTGGGAGGTTCTTGGGGTGAAGAAGGGTTTACTCGCTGCCTCACTGACAGATACTCTGATAACGAGGGAAAAGCGGTTTTTAGGGTGTCCCGGCAGTATTATGAAGCACAGGGCCGGGATGCAAATACAGCTGCAGCCATAAAACCAAGGAATCTGCAAGAATAAAACTGAGTTGCTAAGGGTTTGGTCTCCAAAGGAATCCCCCCCCCCCTTGAAAGATAGAAATGCATTCCCCAGATCTAAGAATTAGGATTATTGAATTCTACTCACAGCTGGAAGAAAAACAAGGCAGACCACATAAGAAGCACAACTGGTCCTGCCACGGGAGGCTGGAGAATGACTGTGGTTGCCAAGGTTTCCTGGTTAGTCTCCCCAGGGCTGACGGCTTGCTCCAGGCCTGGCCATGTGCAGTGCTCTCTGAGGAGGAATGCGCACTCCTTGCTCCTTTCCCGCATGACCTAGGACAGATTGTACCTTGGAATGTTGTCTGCAAGTTTCAGCGCTGGCTTCCTGCTCAAGGAAAGCGCCGTCATCCAGCCACATTCCTTAATACAAGACCCAGGACTCCTCGAGTAAAAACAGGTGCATTCTGACTCATGGTTCTGAGGTCAAGTTTAAGATTCAGTGGCTCCATCGGTTTGGGCTGTGGTGAGGGTGGGGCATCATGAGCGATCACATTTTGAACTAGAGGAGAAGGAGAGAAAGGAATAGAGCAGGATCCTACAATCCCCTTGATGGTACGTGCCTAGTGACCTAAAGGCTTCCCATTGATCCCACCCCTTAAAAGTCCACAGCACCCCCCAAGGCCACCATGAGAACCAAACTCTAGGTCTCAGGGGAACATTAATCAAAACTGTATAGAGGCCAGAAACTCCAAGATCTTCCGTAAAATGCCCAGTATCAGGATGCGTGAATGTCGCTATTTAAGCCTGATGGAGCTGGGCTTATATGGGGTAGAGCTTCCTCCGAGGGAAATCAAGGCTTAGAGAAACATCTCAACACAGGAGCTAGAGAGCCTAGCCCAGCACCCCGTCCCTGCATCATTTTCCCACTCAGCGCTCCTCCCGTGAGCGTGCCTTATCCTGCATGGTTATTTGCCTTTTTTGTCCCTTACACTTCTCTCCCTTGTCCATTCTTTCTGCTCCCGATGACTGTCAAAGCCAAATGTGACCGTCTGGTTTTTGAAAGTATGTTTACAGTTTCAAAGTCCCTTCAGGCGGAGGAAGAGGATGAAGAGAAGCAGGGATGCTGTTGGCTGCGGCGTAGCCATGCTGGGCTGGGCTGCTGCTGGATGCCATCCTCCCTCAGACACCTTGGTCTTCTTAGCCACCACAGCAAAACACTGTGGACTGTAGCTTAAGGAACAACTTCTATTGTCGGACAATTCTGGAGGGAGGCTGGAAGGAAGCCCATGATCGAGGGCCTCTTTCTGGCGTGTAGACAGCCACCTGCTGGCTGTGGCCTCCTGTGTGCGTGCGTGCGTGTGTGTGTGTGTGTGTGTGTGTGTGTGTGTGTGTGTGTGTTGGGGTAGTGGGGGTGGGAAGAGGCCAGTGTGAACTTTTCTAAACCCACTAGTCCGATTATCAGATGAGGACCTGCTGGTGAACTCTGCTAACCTTAATGAGCTCCAGAAAGTTCTGTCTGCAAAGTCATACTAGGGGTTAGGGCATTAGCATGCATTTGGGGAACATAATCAGTCCAGAGCAGCAACACTTAGGAGTGGGGCTCTGATCCTGAATTCTGCACGTAAAGGAGCAAAGGGTCAGAGTAGTTGAACCATTTTCCAAGGGCACCATGGACAGCGGCTGGGTCCTGCTTCATGCTGGATGAGGGGCAAGGCTGTCAATCAGCTTCTGCAAAGAACTCTGTCTTCAGGCTTTGGAATCTCTTACCCAGCGCGATGTAAATATCCTTTTCTCTGTCCTTTCATGTGCTCCACCATCCTCTGGATGGTGTGTTTGCCTGTCTACGCTACCTAAGGACAGACGGCTGTCATCTAGTTTATCTCTGTCGTATCTCCGTATCTAGACAGTTCTGGGGTACACCAGGGCATGGTGAGTAGCTCACAAATGGCTGAATCATAAATCCCAAGTTGGTATTATGTCTGTCTTATACTTTTATCATCTAATAATTTACAACTTTTTTCAATAGATCTGAAAAGATGGCTCAGTGGTTAAGAGTATTTGCTGCTCTTGCAGAGGATCCAAGTTCAGTTCCCAACATCCATGTCAGGAGACTTACCACTGCCTGTAATTCTAGTTCAGGGAACCGGACACCGTTCTTTGGTCTCTGTGGGTGTCCATTCACACAGACACACACACACATGTAAACTGTGTCTGTGGTGCACGCATGCCATGGCATGAATATGAATGTCAGAGGACAATTCTGTGCAGTCGGTTTTCTCCTACCGCTGTTTGGGGATCATCAAAGTCAGCTTGTCAGCCTTACGTGGCAAAAGCCTTTATCCAGAGCCATCTCGTTAGCTGTCTACAACCCAGAATAATGCTCCGTCCTGGGAATGTGAGGACCGGATGGGATGTTGTTTAACTTTCTTGAGAGATGTTTTATTATGTTCATCTTAGCAAGTCACAGCCAAGGCAGGTTGCTTCGGGGCTAGGGTCCAAAGGCTGGACACAGGCTCTTATTTGATAGGACACATTCCTCAATAGTGAGGCCACTGGATAGAGCAGCTGGGGAGCCAAGGGCTTGAGCAGGGAATATCCCTGTAAACTGAGGGAAAGTCAGGCCACCAAGTAGCTTTGCCATGTTAATGCAGTGAAGTAGATGAACAAGCAGACAGGCTGCCAAAACCGAGGGGCTTGACCTGCGCAGGGAAACTTGGAGGTTGATGGAAGGGACACAAGAGTGTTCAAGGGTCTCTGCTAAATAATGTTCCCTCTGGCCATTCATGTGATCTGCAAGGACATTTCTCATAGAAAGGGGAAGTGTGTGTGCATGTGCACACATGTATGTGAGTGTGTGCAGTGTGTGCATGTGCGAGTGTGTGATAGGTGTAATCTATGTGTACTTGTGGTATGTTTGGTAGATGTGGTGAGTGTGATGGGTGGTGTGTATGGTATATATGTGGTGTATGGACATTTGTGTATTGCGTTTGTGGTGTGTGGTAGGGTGGGGTACATGTATGGTGTATACTGCTTGTGTGAGTGTAGGTAAGGCTGGTGGCACTTGTTTATGATATGGGGAACTTCGGGTGGGGGATGGTAGTGTGTGTGCATGTGTTTATGTATGTACGTGTATATTCTGAGGAATATAGTTCATTAGACACTTCAGCAGAAGCCCTGCACCCTGTGAGGGACTTATTTAGTCAGCTCTCGAAATAAATAAATGACCCCTCCCAGAACACCAAATTAGTGTCTTATTGGCATCTGGATTTGTGTATTTACCTCATCTGTGCCTACAGGCCTGCCTGTCATGACTCAATATTCAGCCACTGTCCCTACTGTTCAGGGTTGTGGTGTGTGTACATGTGTGTTCAGCCTCAGGCAAGCCTAATGAGAACTTTGGGGGTGTCTTTGGGATCTGGGAGCACAGCCAAGGCAACCTCGTCAGTTCTCAGAACAGAATTCTAGGACATCGGAGGAGCTGTATGAAGGAGGAGAGGTTTCATCACACATCCCAAGTCAGCTGCACGACTCCCTCAGGGCAGACAAACAGAGAGCGGCACAGGGCAGTCACGTGGGTGTGGGCTCTAAAGTGTCCCCGGGTCTCCAGCCCTGACAGGCAGCCCCGTCACATCCCTGAGTGCTGTCAGACCTGTCCCCAAACACTGTGTGCTTCTTCCTCCTGGAGGACTCCAGCCGAGTCCCACAAGAGAGGGACCCTAGATGGAGGCCTCTGCTGGCTTATCTGGGTGTGACTAAATTTGAGCTGGAGTTTGTGTTGACCCCAGACCAGTATCTAAAGAACAAATGGGGCCTAAAGGCCCCTGGCACCCATTCTGAAACTCCTGGGGTCATTCCCTCTAGCCTGAGATGGACTGGGGCTAAATTTAGAATACAACAGAAACACTCTGAAGGTTCTGTTCAACCACAACAGAAAGACAGCCTCATCTACAGATTCTATCTGTTCATCTCATTCTATCAAGAGATGATAGAAGAGGGTCCATTGGTTCTAGAAAATGGAGGAAATGCTTTCTGTGTAAAGTCCTGGGCAGTGGGCAGAACCCTGGCCTAAGCCCAGGTCCCAGTCAGTGGTGGCTTTGGAAAGTTCTAGGCTACATCAGGGGTTAGGCCAGCTCATCTCTAGGGTGCCATCTGCCTACAGTCTGGTGACTGTGTGGCCGTCACTCCATATGGAGAGGAAGTTTTATTCCCATTGGGACTGCTGAGAGCTTCTCATCCTCCCCAGCCTCGGCCACAGACCCCCACAGAGTCCTGTGGCAAGAGGAACCCCTGAATTCCAGGAGTAGAACCCAGACCCTGCCACTTGGAGAGGAAGGAGGGGGAGAGACCCTGATTTTGTGGTAGTGTGTGATTGATGGGCCCCAAGGACTCACTCACTCAATCTGATTAATCTCAATCCCTTAAAAACGGTGCCAGGGTATGACTCAGCGCTCCAGCACCAGCTCCAGCCCCACAAGTGTGGTGTCCCAAAGTTCAGACTTCAGTGTGGAATAAAAAATCCTTAAATAAATGTAGAGTAACAGATCAAGTTTGTGGCAGAGCGAGACGCTAACCTGAGTCTATGGTTGACAGACCGTGGCACTTTTGCTTGGCTAAGGAGGCGTGGTCTGTGAGTGACCTTTGGTCCTCAGAAACTTGAAGTAGGAGTGAGTTTCTGCCTGGAGCTGGCTCTGACCCATCCATGAGTAGCTAGGAAGTGAATTACGGCTCTTCCCTCTTAAACCCTCGCTTGAGGTATCAATTCCAACACATAAATTGTGAGGGGCACTCAAGCAGCATCTGAACAGCGTCAGGAGGCAAGTGTGACGTTTGGGGAGGTGGAGCCGGCTTTGATCTGTGCGGAAGCTAGAGGGAAGGTCCGACCTGATGCCCTGGTCTTGGTATCCTTTATGCTGAGTGACTTCGTTCTGAGAGTCAGCACCTCCAGATAGGCCATCTGCCACCACTCCCAGAGGTGAAAGTGGCCCTTCTCTCTGTTTCAAAGGACATGTGTCTCTGCGAGACTGAATCCTTTGTATACTTTGACTCTTCACACTGTACTGATAGCATGGCAGATGTGATCTATTGTCCCTTCTTCAGCCAAAATCAATGCTATTTCAGACATCTGGGTCTTAAAGAGAGTGGGCAGATGCCAGGCAGGGGTAGGGTCACAAAGTGTGGCAAAGATGAGTGAGTTACTCTCGGGATGGTTTGGGCCGCGGGAAGGGAGCCGGCCGGGGAGGTATCACTTTCGGGAAGATAAAGTGTCCTGGTTCCATCTCAACTGTGCGATCCCTCACTGCCAGGGACTCTAGCGCCCTGGAATTGAGAGACTCCAGTCCAGACCCCTGGGGAAGGACAGCAGCTGGGAAGACAACCGTCTTCATTGTTTTTCCCACAATAAAAGGAATGGCGGTGTGCCTGGATAGGGTTCTGGGCAGCTGAGAGGTACTGAGAAAATTCTGGGGACACCAAAGCCCATTCCAGGAGTCCCAGGATTCAGTCCTGGTTCTGCCTGAAGAGGCTGCTGGCCTTTGCGGCCTTCCCTCTGGGCCTCAGCTTGAGCATTTATAAAAGTGTTCAATCAAGGGCTCCCAGATCAAACCGATAAAGTTTTACTGGGACCCATTCAGGCCCTGTGCTTTACATATTGTCGGTGGCTGCTTGCTATGATTAGAATCTGACATGTCCCCCACAAGGTCATATTTGAATGTTTGTTCCCTGATAGTAGTGTCCTTTTGGGAAGAACTCCGAGTCTGCCCCACTTTGCCACATGACCCTGTTTGCTTCTCTGATAGGATGGATGGCAAATCCAAAATTAACCCTTTCAGACCCTCACTCACTCTGTTCTTCCCACAGCCCACCCGGAGAGAGCTGCCCTGCTGTTTGTGTCTAGTGTCTGCGTCGGCCTGGTCCTCACGCTGTGTGCCCTGGTCATCAGAGTGTCCTGTGCCAAGGACTTCCAGGAGCTGGGACAGGGACGGGAGCATCTGGTGCTAGCGAGTGACAAGGCTGAGGAGGACAGCCGGGAGGAGGCAGAAGAAGAGGAGTCCTCGGACTCGGAGTTTCCTGTGGAACTGCCCAGGTTTTGTAGGACTTCATATCCAGCCTACAGCTCCATAGAGGCCGCTGAGCTGGCAGAAAGGATTGAGCGCAGGGAGCAAATCATTCAAGAAATATGGCTGAACAGCGGCTTGGACTCCTCAATCCCGAGGAACATGGGTCACTTCTACTGAAAACCAGACACATCTGGATGAGATCACACTTCCTGAAGAGGGAAGGATCCAGAATGCCCTGTCTCCCCACCCCCTCTTGTACCTTCTATGAAGGAGAATCTGTCATGTCATCCGAGAAGGGTGAAACCGGAAAGCTGCCAAAGGGACGTCTCTCTGTTTACAGCACACCCCGGAATAAATGAGGAGGAAGAAGACTTGGTGTCTTGTACTTGTTTGAATGCATGTCTCATTGATAATTCTCTATGAAACTGATATTCACATTGACGCAGGTGCTGGTTCATGCATGTCCATGAGACGGTACACGGGTGAGTTGAGCACACAGGGGACCCACAGATAGTCATTACAGTGATGGGAAGTGGTGAGAGGGCTCAGGGAGTAAAAGGTGACTGCCACCAAGCCTGAACGACCTGAGTTCAATCCCCAGAACCTACAGTGTGGAAGGAAAGGACCAACAACACTTTAATTATACCCATAGGACAGAAAACAAGAGCTCACCAGGTATTTAGTAATTAATGGATTAGCTAACTAATTTATTTTATATGTTGAGGCAGCATCGCTCTGTTGGCTTGGAATTTGTGAGCTGAGGTCTGATGGCTTCAACCTCTTGAGTACTTGGTTTACAGTCATGTGACAATCATGTTACAGTCGTGTGCCACCATGCCCGGTCCACAGATGATTTTGAATTCTCAACGTTATTTGTTTAGAGCAGAGACTCACAGGATCTCTTAAGGGAAAGATGAGAAACTGCTCAGGCCCTGGAGGCCATGATTATTTTGGCCACCTCTGTACCTGAAGGAGGCCACATGTGATGGCTTCCGTCAGCTCCCATGGGACAGGTAAACACGGTGTTTCCGTCCACTGTCCTGGGGACACAGGGACTTGTGCACTGTGTTTGGTATAGTCTCACAGCTCACTTTTTTTTTTTTTTGAGACTGGATCCCACATGTAGTTCACGCTCTTCCTATCTAGTGAGCACTAGGAGTATAGGTGTGAGTCAGGACACCCAGATTCACCAGCTTAAAAAAAAGTCAGCCATCTTGGGGCCTTGGGAAATGGCTCAGTGAGCAAGCAGCTTCCCCTGCAAGCTCTGATTTGAATTTGCTCTCCAGAATGCATGCACTCATAAGAAAGGCTGGTGCCCCTCCCCCACTCACTCCCAGCCTAGCCATGGTGGCAAGTTCTGGGCCAGTGAGAGACACTACATATATTTAAAGGAGGGGGTGAGTGAGGAGTGGCACCCAAGGCTGACATTTTCACAGTATAAAAGCTAATGCTAGCTCAGGGGCTGCACACTTGCTTGGGGGCTGCACACTTGCTGGGGGCTGCACACTTGCTCGGGGGGCTGCACACTTGCTCGGGGGCTGCACACCTGCTCAGGGGCCGCACACTTGCTTGGGGACTGCATACTTGCTCAAGGACTGCACACTTGCTTGGGGGCTGCACACTAGCTCAGGGGGCTGCACACTTGCTTGGGAGTTGCACACTTGCATGCAAGAGGCAGGTTTAGCTCATACCTGGTTTTGTTCCATACAGTAAAAGTTTGCAGACTCCCGGGTCTAAATTTAAAACCATGTTGCTTCTGGTGGTAAAATCCAGTAACCAACAGCCTGGATAGGGAGCAAGTGGGGATGACTTTGAAATCTCTGTAAAGCGCGGGTACTACCTGCTGGGAGCTGGTGCCTGGAGCCAGTGAAGGGAAATCACGGTGCTTAGGAAGCATGCAGGATAGAATCTGTAATGCATGATTTAGAAGGCTGCCCCTAGTGGACAGGAGGCTCACAGCAGGGGAGCTGTGGCAAAGGCAGTTTTCGTTATTCCAAGGGGGTGGGGGAATTGTTATGCTGTAGGCTGTGTTTGAACATTTGGTCCCAGCAGTAGCTGTGGGGCATGTAGGACCTAGTAGGAGGAACTACACTAAGGGGTCAGGCTCGTGTGTCCCAACTGTCAGCTTCCTTGTCAATTGGTGCCCTCTGAACAGGAGACCCCACATTTCTGCTGCCAAGAGAACTTTTTCTCCAATCTGCCCCGACTTCCCTCAATGATAGGCGGCTGTAATGGGCATCTGTGCAAACCCAATAAACCCCCTCCTCCCAAGCTGCTTTTGGTCATAGTGTGTATCACAGCCAGAGAAAGCACACGAGGATGTGTGCTTACTACAGTGAGCTCTGCCTCTCCCCTCAACCCTACAGTAACTTGTCAAAGCCTGCAGGCAAGTACTGGCAGGTGAGGCACGGGGGCATAGCACATGGCTAGAAAGGGCTAGGTCAGGAAAGACATCATGTTGTCTGAGTGGAAACTAAATTTCTCTGGGGTTCCTGAGTCTCAGAGAACTTGAGGGATGTGGAGTGACGTATTCTAAATGTCACCTAAGAGACATTTCCTCTGGGTTATAGCAGACAATGAGATGGTGTCTAGTACCCAACTTTTCTTTTTTCCATTTGCATGTGGTGTGGCATGCACGTGTGCATGTGTGTGTGCAGTACACACATGTGTGCATACATGTGTGTGCATGCGTGTGGAGGCTTAAGGCTGATGTCAGGAATTATCTTCTGTCACTCTTCCATCTTATTCAGTGAGGCAGGGTCTCTCAATCAAATCTAGAGCTCATCGATTAAGGCTAGTCTTACTAGCCAGCTTGTTCTGGAGAGTCCTCATTTCAGCCTTCCGAGGTTGGAAGGACAGGTGGGCCCCGCGTCCATCAACACTGTATGTGGATCCTGGGATCCAAATTCTGGTCCTTACACTTCAGCCATGGTGCCCAAGTTCTCCATGTTGGTTTTGTTGCATCCAAAGAGACTCCTTGTCTCTTCATTTCCTTGAGCCCCGAGCTGTCGTCCTTGCTCTCAAAGTAGCCTCTTTCTTAGTCTGGGTCTGTGCCCAGCAAGTCTCTCCCAGGCTTGTGAACATAAGTGCTGTCAAATGATGTCTCTCTTCATGGGGCCAAAGAGAAAACTGCAGGAGAAGGAGTTCCCTTTACCAGTTAGAGAAAGCTGTGTCCACACTGACACGGCCACAGAAAATTCCAGAGTGTCTTTCCCTGAGTATCTGCCTCCCCCAGTATATATACATACATATGTACACACATGCATACGTACATACATATACATATACACACAACGTACCTAGTACACAATACACACATGCATACATATGTGCACACATATATACACATGAATATGTGCATATGCATATATGATACATACATACACACATATATAAATATGTGCATTCTCTCTTTTACACACACACATACACACTGACTCATGTATGTACACTCTTCCCCATACCCTTCAGGGTGCCTGCACGTCAGGCTGCTGAGGCATAGGTCAATCTTGTTTGTTTCATTGTTTGGCCTCCAAAGCAGAAGGCCCCCCTCTTCTCCTGGCCTCATGGGTCCTGCTGAAACTGTGTTTGGGGCAAGAATCCCAGCAGTAAAACCCAAAGCACGCTTGGATGAGAACTGGCTGCTGGGCCAGACTGTGAGGGGCATGGAGGAAATTCCCACCTGGAGGGGCACCCAGAGAGCTCAGAGTGCCCAAGGGCTGCCACCCTCCACGACTGTGTGTGTCTCTGAGCAGAGGAGTCCCTGCCATTCCCAAGCAGTTGGGCCACAGAAAGTTCGGCTGGGAGTTTTGCACAGGCCACCATCTTGGTAACCTTGTGTTAAGGCTGACTTTGAGAACACGTGCTGCCTGCGGTGACTCTTCTGGAGTGTCCTGTGCTCTTAGAGGGGATGCTGGGACCTTGGGGTGTCATAGTGTTTGCCACTGCTCTGGGGACAAGAAGTCTACACCTAGGACCAAGTAGGCCTTGGGAAGCCATGTGGACAGCCTCGCCGTTGCTAACACACCAATGAAATAATGCATGACACAGGTGCCCACCAGCCCACTTTCCCAGCCATGGAAAAGGTAGCTGTGCTTGGTTCCTACCTGCCCTCCTCTGTGTAGAAATGGCTCTCCTCACTTCCTCACAAGGATTTCTCCAAAGAGCAGTCCCTCCGGAAATCCCCTTCAAGAGTCTCTACTGTTGGGTCTGGGAATGCAGTTCTGTTGACAGAGTATTGGCCTAGGATGAATGACATCATAGGTCCATCTATAGCAGGACATAAAGCAAGTGTAGTGGTGTACAGCTCTCAGCTGAAGGCAGAAAGGTCAGATGTTCAAGGTCACATCACAAAGTGAGTTGGAAGCCAGCCCGGAATAGACGAGACCCTGTCTTAAGATACAATAGTTCCACTGGATGATGTCAATCCACTGTGTTAAGTTAGACACAGACACCTGCCCAAGTGCCACAGACAGTTCTGCCACTCATCAGCTGAGGTATGGGCAGACATCAAATCCACAGTAAAGCACCCCACACCGATGCTCACACACAGACGCTCACACACTGAGCTCACATACTGACACACTGATGCTCACACACCAAAGCTCACACACTGACGCTCACACACAGACGCTCACACACCGACGCTCATACACCGAGCTCACACGCCAAAGCTCACACACTGAGCTCACATACCGACACACTGATGCTCACACACCAAGCTCACAAACTGAGCTCACACACCGACACTCACATGCCAATGCTCACACACCGACACTCACATGCCAATGCTCACACACCGACACTCACACACCGAGCTCACACACTGACACACATTGACGCTCACACACTGACTCACACACCGACACTCACACATCAACACGCACTCTCCTGGGTATGCTGTCACCTGCCTACCTTCTAACCCTGATGCCTCACTCAGCATGGAGATGCTACAGGCTCACTCTCCTGGAAACTGCTCCCCACAGAGTCATGGCCTCAGGACTTAAGTCCCTTCTCCTGTCCTGGCCACACTCCCTGCAGTGTTGGTTTCTGTTTGCTTTGCAACACATGACTTATTCTGTGGCAGCTGCTACTACCAACGTTTTCTAGATCATCACCGCTGCTGTCACCTCCCTTCCTGTGTCCCCTGAGAAGATTGTGAAAATCTACAAGAACCTGGGGACAGGTCAGAGAAACCCACCGTCTTCCAGAGGTGAAAGAATATTCTGGCAATGTAAAGACCCAGAGCCAGAAGGTAAGCTTGATTGCAGACATTGGTCTCTAACTATTTAGTAATTTATTTGAAGTTTGAAAGCAATTCTATTGAGTTGAAAAGAAAAACCACATGCCAGACCAGCTGTGAACCTTAGCT